GTTAGTTAAATAAAAATCATGATATATTACTTCGGAAATATTGTATATCCAACCGAAATGATAGTTTAAAATTAAAATTTTCAGTTTTTTTTAAGTATCCTCATATTTTTTAATGTTTCCATTTTACTTAAGTTACTGTTTTCCTTGGTTACATTTTCTTTCAAATATAATAATGATATAAATTACATATTATTAATAGTTACACTACATTAATCGATTGATGCTTGATCGATATTTGATTACTTATAGGAAGCCATTGTTACGTTCTGGCATTATTTCTTTTCTCTTTATACAAAAACTGGAGGGAGGACACCGGCTAAGCAACATACTAGGTATAAAAGTGTTTAAAAGTTTAAAATTATAGACAGTTACGGTAAAACAAAATTTATTTAGAATTTAAAGCTATCTATCTATGACATTATCTGAGTAAATCAATTCACAGAGAGCAAATTGAATTTCCAAGGCTGTTTCTAAATATATAATTATAGCAAGTCCAAGTCCTTATCTAATCTAAATATTTATCTAATCATTGAAGCAATTATTTCTGCCTACTTAATCGCGTCTTTAGGAGATTGAAAAAGTGTTACTACTGGCAGTTAAGATTATATGAATTTAGTATACCTGTTCCTATTATAAAATAGCCATATATAGTAATAAAAATAATATTTGCTTCAAATGTAATATATATAGTTATTCTAGATTTCAGTTTGATTTTGTTTTTTTCTTCCTTGTGTAAAATAATACACTATTAAGATGAAACAAATTAAAAAAGTAGGTACCTTTTTTTAAATAAGTTTTTCTATGTACATCTTAAATATTTAACTAAAATTTAAGACATCATTATTTCCCAAGAGTTCCCTTGAACCAAGTAAAAGCATTTCTCTGTTAATATTAAACAAGGATGGAAGGACATTAAACCTGTTTTAAAGTTGAGGGATGCTTTGAGTCAAACACTGAAGATTAAAACTTTGTCCATAGTTACAAGTCATATAAATTGAATTATGAAAGGCGTTTGTAAGAATAGACATTGATTAAAAAATAGTTTCTTACCATAAAAAAGTTAATGAAGAGAAAAGCAGGAATGTGTTTATGGATTAAATTAAAAGAATTGTTACAAAATAAAAATAAAAAATGTCATGGCTAAAACTAAGGCGAAAATTATCTACAAAAGTTTAAACGGACAGCGAAGTCAGGGGCTCTTTTTTTGGGTTATCACATGGACGTGGCGACAAGATAAGCCGTTAGCACCATAACTAATGGCGATGCTGTAAGTTAAGATACACAGAAATTATGGCCCATTGTCAAATATTGAGAAACTTGTTCTCGCCGTTGACAATATAAAGCACTCCAAAACAAACAACCTTAATATTTAGACATCGTTTTTACGTTAGCTAAATCTATATAAATAAAAATATAGATGTTTGTAGCCGGACTCGTCTAACGGCAAAAATACAAAACTGTACCCTTGCTGAGAGTTTGTTTTGTGACAATTCATATTTAGCGTTCCCAGTTTTTCATTCAAAACCCTACGTTGAATGAAAATCTGAAAACTTTCCATATGTATTGTAATGGTTCAAACCTGAATTAGGATTTCAGAACAATATTCAAGTGTAAAAAAGTTATTTTAGGAAAAGTATTTTATTTAGGAATAAAAAACTTTTCAGAAACAAGCGATAACTTCGGTTTAATAAAGTTACTAAACTTTTAACAAACGACAAATGTTATAAACTCTGCTTGTTCAATAATGTGTGTTTTATTGCACATACAAAAAGTTTGTTCATATATCAAACAAGAGATGAAGTCGCGGATATTAGATTGTTCTGTATAAATTAAGTAAGTGTATTTAAAAAGTAATGTAGGTGTACGCTGGTACAATGTTTGCGTATACATAATTAAAAAGCGTTTAAAAAGAACCAACCATATTTAGTTATTTCACATAATATAAAAGGCGGTCGTGTTTTCTTTTGGCGATCTCTTGCAGACCACCTAAGCTTCAAGAATAATAAATTAATACACAAACAGAGGGAGTGGTTTTGTTATAAACAATTATAAATGCCTCCATTAAATCAATTTACATAAAATCAATGTTTACTATAAACTTTATGTTAATAAAATAATATACTAGCATGACAGACCTGTATTGTAGATTTCTTTTGTTAGTAGATGGAAATCGAAAATATTGTATGTAATGCATCAGATTACTTTCATCATTAATAAATCTTCACTTCAACAAAGTGAAAGTTTCACATTATAAGCTATCAACAACAATTTCATTCAAACGTAAGAAGAAACTGAAGAAACTAGATAAGAAATAGATTAGATATAGATATTCTAAACATAAACATACATATTGAATAGCTTAAAAAATTGTTTTTTAATTGAAGTGTTATTATTAACACAAGGTTACTTGTCTTTTAACGTAACACTTAAAAAAAAACTAATCTGAAAAATGCGTAACCGACTATAAAACTCTGATTGTACATCATTTTATTGCCTATTCTATTGATCCCCGACGTAAATAAAAGGGTATTGTGTGGGAGGACTGTGTGCCTGTCTGTGGCAACGCAGCACTCAAACGGATCCACCGATATCGATGTGGTTTTTTGAAGTATGAAAGCCAGTTTTTGTAATTCGCGATACGTTTACGTACGTTACAGTGGCGTATGATTATTCGATTAGGTGCCTCATGGGTGCCGTCGTGAAATGATAGTTGAAGGGTTTTAGTTTTTTATTTTGATAAAACATTCTTATTGGTTCTTATACGCTATTGTTATTGGATTTGATAAGTGGATTTGTAATCATTTTGAGACTTAATATCTTTTTTGGGTTCGTTATTAATAAGTGTTTTTTTATTTAGATATTGATAATGCTCTGCAAAAAAATTTTCCACAATCGACATTGCTATTTACGACATCTCGTATAATATTTATGAAACTATAATATGTTGTATGAATTCAATAAACAGTACAACAATGCATTACTAGATGTCGCTGTTTACAAAACTTAAGTTTACTGTTGTAGTTGTTGTAAGTATATTTGATATTATTGATAAAGTTTTTGTTATCAGGAAGCCAAGTGTTTTAGACCTGCATTACCTTTTCCTCTTTAAGTTTGGGTCTTTATATCTACTAAGGTTTTATATAAACTACTCCTGTAACAGGTAATTAAAAATCCCCTCCCACAATGCATCCTTCTATTCTAAATCCCTTTCTGTGGAAGCTGTACGGCTCTGGAATTCCTTACCGCTTACCATAAGTCGTGCTCAATCTCTAGCAACATTCAAACGGCTATTAAAAGCAAACTTCTTCACCCCCATAAATTTTGTCTACCTGTTTCCTTAATATTTATTATTTTTATTTTTCTATTTATTCTAAACTCCTACTCTGCGATGTATCTGGCTTATATTTTAAATTTATTATTGCATGTTACTTATAGTCATATTTAAACTGTAATATAAATTATACATATAAATTATTGTATATTGAATGTAGTATATACATGTTTACTATGTAACTATATACTACTGCACAAATGCTAAATTTAATGCTGAAACATTACCTTTTAGTTGACAGAAATTATATTATTTAGATAATAAACAAAAGTAACAATGTACAACATAGGTATCGTAAACATAACTTAAAAAATGATTAGTTGTTATATTATTAGAGAAAAAACTAATGTTAAATCTTTCAGAAGGGGAGCTGCCAAAGGTAGCAAAAGTAAAACTCAAAATAAATTTATAGTCGTAACAAATTCATTATTGATATGTACAATAAAATAAGCTATGTATCTACAGCAAACATTCGAAAACTAATATCTCACAACATTCTATAAAATCCTTACATAATTTCTGAAAATTCTAAAGTGCAATAGCAAAAATATTTTTGATGGCATTTACAATTTATGTCTAAGAGTTCAAGTATTTTGTTTTTCTTTTCTATGGATGCTAATATATAAAGTTAAACGACTTTATGGGTGTATTCTGTAGGGACAAAAAGTGTTTTACTATGTTTTCGAGTAACTAATAACGGCCCGCTAAGTAACTAACCACTTGTGTTCTAAAACCTATCACAGAACGTATTCAGATCTTTGACTTTAAAATGATTGCAATGCTATACAATAACAATTTATTTTAAAATAATGTCAGTACAGAAGCCATTTTCTAAATATTCTAATCTTATACAGAACATCCACTATGCTATAATGTTCTGTATTTGACTTTACATGCATAATTTAGAAAGATTGATTTACATACATCTTTTTTTATTTCAACGTGCAAAATTTTTTATTTATCATTGAATAAGTACTTTTTCTTAAAATTGTATTCATATGTAATCACGATTAATGTAGTGGTCTTTAAAAAATTGCATTTAGATGACAGGAGATACAATTTTAAAAGAACTCAATTTCGCATACTCTGAGTTCTAATATTATGTAAAAGGACTACCAAAAAATGTCCCTATGACTGTTAAAGAGTGCAATCGAAGAATCTAAACTTATTATAAAAGTGGTAAAGTTTATCAATGAAATTAGTTCTAAAATACTCTCTCTAAAAATAAAATTTGTAGTTTGTCTTTGGGAGAAACATTAAATTTTAAGAATACAGGTTGAGTCTTGTTACAAAATCAGTAGAAAAATGGAGTCAGGTACAATTTACTAATGATTTTTCAATTTTGCAAGAAATTGTTTCGATTTTAAAATAAAAAAATAATAATAAATGGCACATTAAATGAAAATAATTTCCTGCGTTGAGTACCAAATATTAGCAAAAATATTTGTGCTTTAATGATATTAAAAATGTTGTCATGGGCTATTTCTTTAGCATATATCAAATCATATTTTAGCAGAAACCGTCGGTCAAAAGTTTTGATCAATCAAGAAATGGTAAATTTGAATGGCACCATTTTTTTGTACAATTTCATTTTCATGTTTGAATTATTATATTGTTAAGTTGAACCCCTCTGATGAATGACATCATTGTACAAGAATTATTAAATTTTTCAATCGTCGTCATTCAGAAGATCAGTGCACGATTTTGCTTTGGTAGATCTGAAACACAACCGTCAATTATTAGTGAATGTATTTTCTTTAAATAGTAAAAGAAGTTATACAAATAATATAAATTAATTTATATTTTATTATACTTTTTATATACAGAGTCGAAAATAGCAAATAAAATGTGACACTTTCACGATTACGCAAAAAAAAAAAAATAAACCTCAAGACTTATTTCGCTTCTAACATTTGTTATTAATTGACAATTGATAACAAAAGGTTTTAACTTACTGGTTTTTAATTCTGCGGCAAACTCTCAGCTCGATGGTCCCACTTCGAACTGCTTTGAAGAGAGCCAGAGCTTCCACGTGGGCTAATTCATGACACGCCTGACCGTTCACTGCTAAAACTTCATCACCTGAAAAAGATTGATTTATATACTCATTAATTTCAAAAGTTTTACTATCAATTATTTGAAAAAACTAAATCATTAATTTTTATCTACATAAGGTCGTTAATATTTCATTAAGTTATTTCAAACGTGAAAACATTTGAAAATCCATATCAAAAATTATTTAAAATACCTTTAAAGCATACTCCTACTCATACTCATGCTTGTATATATTTTAAAGGTTGATATAATTATTGTCTTAATTGATATGATGCTATTATAATATGATACTACATTTATAAAAGCTCTTTGTGTTCCTGTTATGTTGTATACATTATGGATATAAACAATTGATGATTGAATTATTTAGTCCCATTAAGTTGATATTACGATTTATTATTATGTATTGATGAATTGGAATAGACACAATGCGAAGACCAATCAATATCAAAATCCATTCATCAAATACATTAAATAATACACGTCTTTTAAAAGTCTATTATTATTTTTATAAAATATTTTACAAACATACCGGCGTTCAATCTTCCGTCGTCTATCGCCTGTCCCTGTGGTAGGATGCTTTTTATGAAAATTCCCAAGGGACCTCGAGGAGAATCCCGTCCGCCAACTATCGTAAATCCTAAGGGCTTCTTTCCATGACCCTTCTCAAAAACGATCGTATGGTAAGTGTGTGTTGGTGCTCTTGGTTTTCTTGGGAGCGTGCAGAAATTTGCGGTATTCTGCGTCTGCACATTATCTTCATGTTTATCTGTTCTCTCAGTAGTACCATCTGGCACATCCACATCCACTATATCACCTGTACAACTAAGAACAAGCGCATCCTTATTAGCACCACCATAACTGACAACCTGCCGTCGCAATAACTTGTTGTTCATACTGCTATAACCCGCACTCTGCCCTTTTAGGAAGCGCGACTGTGTGTCCTCCGTTCCATCCGCCTCATCCGTTCCTGATAAGAGCCGATTACATGCGGGTTCGTTTTGACGTAGGTCGACTTTGATGTCATATTTATTATTGCATCTCTCTTTTCCTAGAATTATAGCGTTTTCGTAATCCACGGAACTTTCACGCATTAAAGCTATATTTCTCTGTGTAGGTTCCCGTTGTACTGATTCAGGTTCTGACTTTTCTCGCTGTCTGCATATAACTATATCAATCTCCGCTGAACCAGACCTTAACGCTTCTTTGGCTTCCGACATTGTCAGATCTCGCAGTCTACGACCATTTACATTAAGAAGCTCATCACCTATTTGAAGAGTACCTTCCCTAAAAATAAAAAATGCATTTTTAATAATACTTAAAAAACAAAAAAGTGTCAGATACGATACACAATGGTCTGTAACATTACATTTGTTTTAGACCACCAAAACAGTAAATCTACCGGACAGACCACCTAACTCATATTGCACCTCATGGATTGTGGTATCTAAGAATCGTAAAGACAATGTTTATATCGGAACGACAGTATAAAAAACAATACTTTGGAACTTTTACTTCTTTTAAGAATGGAAGAAAATGGAATATTCTTAAAGAGTAAAAGTATCTCGGCTAATGTAATCCATATACGAATTGTATTCCATTGATAATAATATTGTTAGTAATTTGGGTACTCACTTATCAGCTAATCCTTCAGCAACAACGTGTGCCACTAAGTATCCCACATGACCTTCGTCCACAAGTTTAGTTTTAGCAATAAATATGCCTAGCTCATCACCCGGATTCTTTTTAATTATCCTTACTACTTTAAATTCTGACTGCAGCTTATTACTCTTGTTTTTAGTAGTTTTACGACATGGAGGTATAGGGGGTATTCCATAGTCTTCCAGACTAGCATCTCTTTGGCGCATTTTTTGTTTTTCTGTCAGTTGTAGGTATTGAGGTTCAGCATATTCAGAATTTTTAGGCATACGCCTTAGTATTTCTTTACGATCTAATGACAAAGCTCTTTGAGTATGGCGTGGTCTAGGCTTAGGGTGATCATTTTTGTCTCTTCGATTTCTATAAGAGATTCGAGTCTTAACATATGTTTGATCACCCGAAATACTTCTACTATGACTCTGTATCTGAGAGTTTGTATGGGAAGCGGAACTTTCACATCGTGATATTCTATCGCTGTCAAATATTGAAGACGCTGCTGATTCGTTGACTAGTATACCTGAATCTGCATCTTCACAATCTTGAATCAAAACATTTTCATCATCGCAAGAGACTTGATACACATCATCATGAAAAACTGAATTTTGTTTTTGAAACTCATCTAAACCAGGTAATGCTCCATAGGAAAAACTTCTAAGTTTTGCTTTAACTCCTCCCCTTTTCTTGCGACTTCTACTCGCTGAACTTGTGGATTTTATAGCACTGTCGTTAAGACTGTTTATACCTACTTCGTCGTTTTGTTTATATAGCTTTGAAAAAAATCTATTCGTAGATGATTTAAGATATCTATCAGACATTGCTCTTAGTTTAGCTGATAGACATGAACTAGGCCCTATTGTATCTTTATCGTCTTTAGTTTTTTGTTTATCAGTCTTTTTACCTTTCATCGGCGTGCAATCATAAGGTTCATAGTCGTCATTAAATATTTGATCACTTGATTTAGAAAGTTTTGTTCCCACTTTTGGAATTGCATGGTATCTGTCACATTCCGATCCTGAGCTATAACATCTCGTACCCCTATTTGTGAATGATTTACCTTCACGCCAATTACATTCAATAGGAGTTTTAGCAAAAAATACATCATCCTCGTAGTTTGACATTTTCACCCAAGGATTATGGTTTTCGAACTCCGTATGTTCTGAATAATTTTCAGCGTAACGACATTGTGTTACTTCATCAACATGGCCAAAGCCACTACAGTCACTACCAGATGTTGATACTGCATCATCGCCGTGACGAATAGGGCCATTGGATCTAAAACATGACAGTTTAGTATTTTTCACTTTATCTAGCAATGGGTTCCTTTTCTCTCTATACGTCATGTATTCTTTTTCCAAGGAGCTCCCTCTATTTTTTTGACTGTTATCATAAGATAATTCTTGGGGTGATGTTGGTCCATTTTGTAAAGAAATTCTTCTTGTTACTGGAGTTTCACAGCTGCGATGGCATGGATGAGGCGATTTTTCAACTATAATAATTTGATCGTTTAAATTGTAAAAATTGGTTTCTACCGAACTGGTGCTACTTTTTCGGTTATTATATCGCACTGGTGACATATCTGTAATTTAAAAATATTGTATTAATAGTAGATATTAAATCACATTCCAACAAAATTCCTTTCTTTTTCTTGTATATATTCATTTTATTTATTTGGAAATTGTATGAACAACCATTTTTTTTAAAATTCAGATATTTTTACAACTCCTTTTTACTTATTTACTGAATTAAAGCAAAACTGCGAAAGGTTATAAAATAAGAGAAATGGAACATTTTCACTCAATTCCCAGCAATGATTAAAATAATAATATATTGTACCAATTCTAGATCTTCTAGTGGAGCGAGGCTCTTCCGGCGAAACGGCAAGAAGCCGCGGCGGCTCACGATTCCTGAACCACCGCATCTTTTCTTCTTTATACCATTTTTAACAGGTTGTCCCTGGCGACAAAAATAGAGACACATTTTATTAAAATTAACGTAATAAAAAAAACTTAAACCTATCCCTTCTATTAGCTGACAAGACCAAAACGGTTTTTGTAGGACATATCGTCTCAGCTTACACTCAAAAAGTTGTTGTCATTGAAAGTTGTAATGTACATTGGAATGCATAAATTAATCATCTGTACGTTTATAGTCTGTGAATCCAGTCACATTAAATGTAATTTTTCTCCTTATTCGATAAAAGAGTGTGGTAATTAGTTAAAATACCTAGAACTAGTGGGCAGGTGATGGTAGTTACATTTAAGCAAAAAGCTAAGGAATTTCGCAACCAGTTTATCTAGTTTATTAGATAAACCTACAGGTAACTAATTCGATAGGCTCTATAATTACTTCAAAATATAATAATAGTCCAGTATATGAATGCGGTTTCTCCTGGGTGCTTTTTAAAAATAGAATCAAAGAAAAAATACCCCGTTATATTGCATTCCATGTTAACTGCACTTCTAGGTGCATAATATTTATAAAATTCTCATTGTAGACTTATATTTTTTAATTTTTGTTTATAATTCCAGTATAAGTCTTGTATGTATTGTGTATATTTAAAACATTGATGTTTAAAACAAGAAACTTTATAGGATTTTGAACAAACTTTACGTAGAATGCAATGGTCGTAAGTCGATACTATGGATTCGATGAAATCACGTAACGGTGGCCTTGCTCGTGACAAAACTATGTTGTGTAATCGTCTTCGCATATTTGAGGCAATCGATTTTTTGATTGCGATAGTTCTTTGTCAAGTAGATGAACGAATGCTTGCTTATAAGTTACAGTCCTCACGTACGACTGTTTTGTTTTAATTTTGTTGATAAAAGACATGTTATATAATTATTATGAATTTATTTGCTTCAACGAACAAAGTAGTAAAAAATAAATGTTTGCTTTAACTAACAATTTCGTAAACTAAGATTCCAGTAACTTTGAATCTTAGACTATAAAATAATTTTATAGCTTTGTAATATAATTTATAAATTTGCAATGCATTTCGCAAATGCTTGTGACAGCAGAGCACTTCGGGTTATCGAGTGACATGGGCGATCAAGTGTGCAATTTTAGATTTGATTTCTTATTAATAATTTATATTATAACCGGTTTGTCAAAAGGTCAGAGTAAACAAGTGCTATCGAAATACAATATGTATAGATATTGAACATTAACCTATAAGTGACGGGTTGATTTAGAAAATACCCTACCGTTTAGCCCTTTAAGTAAATTTAGAAAATAAAATTCTAAACTGAAACTTAATTGTAAACATTTTATAAGAATATTGAACAATAAGATATAATACCAATATATATGTATCATATTTATTCTCAAATTTCATTGAATTTAATTATTACAGGCGCCGATTTTATAGTTACAACAAAAGTATTTGTTTAATAATATAGTTTCAATAAAGTTTTAAAGATTTAAATATAAGTTGTATATTTCATGTATAATATAATTGAAAAATCGTGAACATGCTATTTTTGTGTACAAACATGTTAGGTCAGCGTTATTTTTGTAAAAAAAGATAAGCATGCTAACAAATCCTTAAAGGCAAAATATTCAAACCAGTTTAGGGACACAAACACTCTCACTAATGACATTCCGTATGCAGGTAATGATGTCCTTACGTGTTTTCCGTGTAAACACTACCGTACGGAAGTAGCAAAAGGAAGAAGTTATGTGAATACTTACAATGCAATTTGCGCAACTCTAATCGCTTTTTCTTTGAATGAAACCAATGTTGCAATTCACACGTCTAGAGATTATATTGTGAGAATTTACATTTTGATTGATTAAGTGTACTGTATATAATATGGAACAAATAGTATATAATATGTAATAAATTATTAATTTCAGTAAAATACGCTGTCGTAAAATAAATCACAACAAAGTCATGCGACAGCTTGACGCCACAACCTACTATCCCACAAATATTATTAATGCGAAAAGTTTTATGTTGGTGTGTATTTGTATATTATTCAAATATATGTTACTACTGAACTGCTTTTAATGAATTTTAGTGTGAGCGTAGCATTATAATGATTATAAAACAAGATCATCTAAATAAAAGTAGATTTGTATTTAAAAACTAAACGAAACTTTAACATTTTTATATTGAATGGAACTTAAGATGGCAAATGAAGTGTGGAAGAAAGCGGAAATATGATATTTGACATAATAAACCGAAGCAATTGAACTGTTTGATTTCACTTGTTTCTTTTTTAGCTGAAGGTTCTAAGTTTTAATATATAATTTATCGCTGTATTACATAGAATACAATATTATATATATATATACTATGTTCAAATGTCGTCTAAGAATATCAAAAAATGAATTCCACATGTATATACGTTTGATTTTCATTGCAAAACCAGAAAGAGACGTCATCCAAAAAAAAGCAATAAAATTTTATACGTAATTAATATTGGCATCAAGCCATAAAGCTGATGTCAAGGACTAGGAAGCCATTACTTGTGTCTATTATATGTATCCGTATGCTTAGAAACAGGGTTGGCGTAACATAAATAAATATTAATTTATTGTATTAAAGAGAAATAGTTTTATAGACAATATTATGTTATAATGATTTCAATCTGTTGAAGACACGAACGTGCTAAGAGACACTTGTTGAATATATAATATATTAATGTACAATCTGACGTCAGAGAAGATAAAATAAATAAGCAAATTATAAAATAGTTAATTTAATTAATTCTCAGTAAAAAAAATTGTAGTCGTATTGTAATAGATCCTTTTCATTTTATTTAAGAAACGACTCAATGTTTCTGTTGCTTTTATATATCACTTTGAATACACAATAAATGATTTGAATGTCATATATGTATATTTTACTAAAATGAAGCAAATATTTTCGAATTTCAATTTAATTGTTTAAAGAGAAGTGGATCAACAAACCTCTCTAGAATTCAGTGTACCTCCAAATTAACCAGTATAGGTGATAGCCAAACATTATTTCAATATAAATAAACACCAGTGTAAGTATTGTAATTTTAAAATCACAGACAAGCGCTTCAATTTATAAGTAGTAATGTAATACTAGGGCCATTGTAATTCACGCCTCGATGTTATTAGTTTCTCTTATCCCTTGCGTTTGCGTGACGCATCTTGTAAGTCAGGTAATGTTTATTTTTTAATTATGAGTCATGCATTACAACAGAAATAGATCTCCGTAGTTGGAGTTAGTCGGTTCAAAGCTGGCATTCATGTTTTCGTGTACTATACACACTTTATTGTGATTTATATTTATATATTTTAATATTATTTTCTTTTGTATATTGTTCAATATTTAGACGACACTTTAAAATAAATCTCTTGTTCGTCCGTAAATATTCCCGTTAATGGCGGCAACACAAAAGACGTTTACTTTTTTAATTTAACTTATGTAGTGTGTGACAGTTATCAATTGTAACTGTTTCCCCACATGGCTATTCACTTCACTGTTACTGGGTGGATGGTGTCTGAATTTTAATATTATTCAATGGAAAAATATGCAAATGGACAAATGGAAAAAAAATACTCATTGACAATTTTATAAAATTATATATTGTATTGAATCAACAAAACAAACAGATTTTCTTAACCATTTCGTTTTTTGGACTGAATTATTGGGGTAATGAGTGATAATTTACATCCAAAATTAAACAAAAAACTTAAACAATAGCCGGCATTACGTAGTAACATACTCATGAAAAAGAACACATACGTTGCGACGAGAAAGTCAACCTTTTGGGAGTCGTTGGAACAAAAAGGTCATCTTTTAAAGGCTTTTGGACTAAATTGTTAGTAAATATGTCTTAACAATAGGCAATTTCAAGGTATGTAATCTGAACAATGAACGCATATCGCCATAAATATCATCACTTCTTATGCGCATTGTCGTCAAATGGAATTAATTTTTGGTCTAATATATGAAATGAAATAAATTTTTTTGTTAAAACTAAAATGAAAATATTTTACAAATATATCGTTACTCTCAAACAATATAAATTTCCTAAAAAAGAATTTGAGTGCACGTTTTTATGATTAACGACAAGAAATTTTAATATAACGACACAACAGAAGATGCTGCATTCAATCGAAGAAAGTTGCTATTTTGGATGTTCTGAAAATGTTTCTCAATACTTAATATAAATTTTTATTTAAAAATACTTCAAAAAGAGTACTTTTAAAAAATATTTAGATATTTGACTTTCGGAGATTACTAGTTTGAGGGTATCGTTTTGAGTAGTTTGTTATTCTGCATTATTCCTAATAGGGTAGTTAATTTCAAATGGATAATGGTGAATTCATCATTGCACAGTAATAGAAATTGGCAAAAAGAGCTAAATCTCAAAATATATAAAAACTTAAAAGGCAAACGGCTAACCCAAGCTAACACACGTGTATATCTCAATTTGGCCGTGTCATAAATAGAAGTAATTGTGAAATATGCTAGCACAAAATTCATTCATATTCAAATAAAATTTGTCAAATTAATAGTTATTGTGTAACCTTATCTAGCACAAGAATATTGTGAAAACACACTTATTATAATATGTTATAATGTTTTCTACAAGAAATTAAATTGATTTTACATAAATATATAACAGTATGAAACAAATTACGCAAATATATAGTATTCTATTTAATGTTAGTAACCTAGTAATTTTAATAGTATAAAAAATGATTTTTATTTCGTCACTTATTACAGATTCCCTTGCATCAGATTAATCAGATTTACATTCTGCCTTTTCGGGATACAATACAAATATAAAAGCTTATGTGTAATACACTCAGTGTTAAAAGCCCTCATTAAAATATTATATTAATAATGCACAAGTTTATTATCGCCTTGTTTGTTTATCGTACTTTTATATTATGTAGGTTTAAATTTATCTGTTTAATGCAAGGCTTAGT